TGTGTTTAAGTGTTGCCTGTATTATTACTTTCTGCTTAGAGTAAATTTATGTCCAAAATGTTTGCTGCTTTTTGCCTTACGACACACAAGTGGTTCACTACTGCGTGCTATATCAGTGTCCACCGGTGCTGTTTGTTGTCCTTCTGCCCTGCACTAGTGAACCTCTCTCTCTCTCTCCCTCTCTGGTGAGGGGGGCATGTCACAGCTACGTGTTCTCATAAATGTATGTGGTGTCTCATGCATCGACTGTCAACGGTGGAGAGACATGCGCCATGGCGACGGAGGACATTCTGAAGGGTTTTGCAGATGGCAGCAAGGAAGGGAATTCGGCAGGAGGGAACATTGCAGACTGTGCAGAGGTGTTTGCGACAATATGTGCACAGACTGCAGAGATGATGGGTGATGGTGATGAAACAGAGAATGATGCAGGAGGGAGCACTTGTGAGACGGAAACGGCTGGGGAAGAGAGAGAGGAGGTAGGTCTGGGAAGCAGGGAATCTCTGACAGGGTGTATTGTGAAAGATGAAAATGTGGTGAAGACATCAGCAGGAGAAGAGTACCCATATGACATCAATTAGGTGTCGGGTCGTGTTCAACAGGGTATTGTTGGAGGAGCACCCTGCTTTGTGTTCAAAGTCGAAGGGACATAGGTTCCATTTCCTGCCCCCAAAAAGAATACATGGCGAAACGTGACTCTGACAATCGTGTTTGACAGACTATTAAGGTTGAACGATGGGGAAACAACAGAGGTGAAAGCACGATATGCAATGGACGTGTGGCGTCTTCTGGAGGCGCAGGGCGAGTTCAGGCTGAACGATTTTTTGTACGACAGTTTTGATTGCGGAAAGGCATGGGTGATTGGCGGGAACGACGCAACAGGGAGTACGGCGTGCCACGAGAGCGATGCAAGGAGGGATCCTAGGTGGTGTTGGGTGTCATGTGTGATCCCGATTCCATGTGGCCATGTGAGGATGATGATGCGTGATGCCATGGAAAATGTCTGGAGCACGCATTATGTGAATGACAACTTCTCCTTCAGGCACCTCGACAGGGAGGTCTCAGAAGACGAGAAGAAGGCAATGGCATGTAATACCCATACTGCTGGCTGCTTTTTCCCGCCGCTTCGGAACCCTGTGAACTCGGAGGTGGTTGAAGGGAATGTTTTCACTGGTGAGGATGGCAGCACATACACGCATGCAAGAGGGCAGGAAGCCACGTACGATGGAGTATGCTCGCAGATATGGGACCATGTCACAATGAGGAGTGACGTTCTGTCTGCCATGGACATTGAGGCCCGTGTCATCCCTGAAGGACAGTTGCAGCAGCATATGGCCCCTGAAAAATATGGCTATCGTGCGAATTGGGTCCCAGGATGTTTGCATCTTGCAGTGGTTGATGGCAAGGTGACGATGGCAGCAAGACTGCAATCAGGGCATTGGTTCCCATTGGGATGGATGCATGCAGGCATTGTGGAGCATTGGCAGTTCCTCGTGGTTCTGACACGTGTCTCAATTTTCAATGTGAATGTAAAGGACCACGTCTTGGTGGTTGAACACGCAAAGCGGTGCTGGGAGAAGATAAGGGAGGAGGAGCGTCAGATGGTGTGCGCGGGTTATGACTCCATGGCTGACCAGGGGATGTGGTCCATGGTTGAGGGGAGTTGTACGGCCCAAGAGCACGGCTACGGTGAGAACAGATACATGGCTCACATTCGTCGCAGGCACGGTTGCACGACTGTTCCTGGTTGGGTCCCGGTCGTATGTCCCATGACATATGAGCATGGTGTAGACGTCACCATGAGATTCAAAGACCCGCTTGGTGTGCCTTTCCATCTGACCTACTCAGATGGACTCCTGCGATAAATTCGATACATGCCGGAGGATGGTTTGCCAGGTTCAGCGCAGGCAGGGAAGAGGACAGAGAAACCCTCATAAATTTCTCGTTTGTTTGCTGATGTGGAGCACCCATGTGGTCCTGGTCGCGTCGGGGGGTGCTTTGCAGCACAGGGTGACATGGCCAGGCCGAGCGATGTCGCGATGTCGCAGAGCCCGGGGAAGAAGAAGAAGTGCACGCCGGGACCGCCACGTGGGCAGACGTCCGCAAGCAGAAAGAAGGTGAACCCGAAGGCGGTGCCAGGGACCGGAGACACCGCAGGTGCACGAACTCAGGTCCCCAGACGCCGTCGGCGCCAAGGGATGACAACTTTGTCGGAAATCAGAAAGTTGCAACGATCCACCGACCTTTGCTTGGCTTTCAGGCCGTTCTTGCGTCTCGTGCGCGAGGTTGTGGAGCGGGACATTGCTCCGGGTATTAGCGTGAGGTTTCAGATGACGGCGGTGCGTGCTTTGATGGAGGTTGCCGAGGCGTACTTGGTCGCCAATTTCGAGAACACCAACGAGGTGGCCATCCATTCGAAGAGAGTGACGATCCAGGTCAGGGACACGAGACAAGTGGATAGGTTGTCGAAGCCTCGCTGGGTTGAGAAATATCAAGGTATGTTGGACGAGAAGGCGAGAGCTGAGGACAGACAGGAATGGATGGATGTCAGACAAGCGGAAAGGGATGGCAGGAGAGCAGGGGAGAAGAAGAGGAAAGCAGTGCCATGTAAGAAAGGGTCCGCGAAAAAAAAGACAGCTTGATAATCCTACAGTTTGTGCTGCATAACGGTTGTCCTCTCGAATCGTGGACTCCGTGGAAGTCTTCATGGTGTTAGGTGGGTTGAATATGTGGAGAGAGAGAGAGAGAGAGAGAGATCAGGTTCACTAGTGGGGGACATGAAGGTATTGAAGGACGACTCTGTCGCTGATTTTGGGCCGCAGTAGTGAACCCCATATATTTTT